CTGGCTGAGCAGCTGCAGAGGGAGGGGATGGGAGTGTGCCATGGTCTGGTCCTGTCCCTGTCTAGGCCTGGGGCTGCAAAAGGCAGGATAACAAACAAAGGGAGCAGCCACCAACGCTCACCGTGGTCAACCCCTGCCCAGGGCTCTGCCAGGCTCTTGACCACTTAACTTAGTGTCAGCGTCCTTCTAGAAGGTAGCCAATCTCTCTGGCTCTGTGACTAAGGATGGGAGTGCACCATGGTCTGTTCCTGTCCTGCCTGCGTCTCTGGAAGACAAGAAAGGAGCAGCCACTATTGGTCGTGCCATGGGCAACCCCTGCCTCCCTGCAGGGCCCAGCAGCATTGCCATCTACTCCCTGCCCTCTCACCTTAGCCCTTGTTCACCTGGCTGTTTGCCATGGTCTTGTCTTGTTCTTGTGTGAGCTTCCTGCTCTGGAAGACAAAGCAGGAGCAGCCACCATCTGCTGCGCCACGAGCGACCCCTTCATCCCTTCCAGAGCCCAGCAGCCCTGCCCTCTGCTTCCTGTCCTCGCACCATAGCCCTTGCTGACCCGGCTGTTCGCTGTGGTCTGGTCCTGTCCTTGTGTGAGCCTCAGGTTCTGGAACTCAACGGCAGAGCAGCCACTATAGGATCATAGAGTTACAGAATCAAGGACTCCTTAAGGTTGGAAAAAACCTCTAAAATCATCAAGTCCAACCATCAACTCCTCACCACCATGTCCCGAATTCCCACATCTACACATTTTTTGAACACCTCCAGGGATGGTGACTCCACCACCTCCTTGGGCAGCCTGTTCCAATACTTGACCACTCTTTCAGTAATTTTTCCTAATATCCAATCTAAACCTCCTCTGACACAACTTGAGGCCATTTCCTCTCATCCTATCACTTGTTACTTGGGAGAAGAAACCAACACCCACCTTACTACAACCTCCTTTCAGGTAGTTGTAGAGAGCAGTAAGGTCTCCCCTCAGCTTCTTACCCTCCAGACTTAACAACCCCAACTCCCTCAGCTGCTCATCATGAGACTTGCTCTCCAGACCCTACAACAGCTTCACTGCCTTTCTTTGGACCATCTGTCCCACCAGAGGAAACCCCAGTCCCCCTCCAGGGCTCAGCAGCCCTGCCCTCTGCTCCCTGCCCCGCTCCTTGCCCTCTCACCTCCAGTCTGGACTGGCTCACCACACAGCCTTTTCTGTACCTGTCCCGGGCGGCCGTGTCACCACCCCTCTGTGGCATGGCCACCACCAATGTTCTGCCTCCTGTGACATGGCCAGCACATTACCGAGTGTTCCAGAGCTGATGGGAGGGTGAGCTCTTGGCTGCCTGGGGAAAAAGGGCTGTAGCTCTTCTGCCTTGCTCAAACACAGTGGGATGGACAAACCCCATAACTCAGACCCATAGGGAGAACTGTGACAGAATGGGATGAATCCACTCCTAGAAATGCTGGTTTTCTTGTGCACTTTACCACTAAAGATGGCCCTTTATTTTGCTGAATAGAGTATTTAATCTTACAGGTTGTAATTGTCTGAATGGATGTTAAATAACTTATTGCTTTTAGTAAATCCTGAAAACTTAACAACCACAGAAATGCACGTAACAGCACTCTAGCAACAACATAGCTCAATGTGATGTCTCATAGAGAGGAAACACTAATTTATGTTAAAACACAACTGATTTTAGCCCCTAGCACTCACATACAGACACTGAGATGCATGAAGAAGGTAGATGTGTGCTAGGATCTCGATGATCTGCTACTGTAGATGTCAGCAACAGTGCTGCTTTTATAGCCCTCCTCCTGCTGATATTCTGCACCCATGTGTTCACATTTCCTTACCATTCATTCCAATATAAACATTTTTATTACAATGTTCCACATCCTTAGAAGATTTCTGGACTTCTGTTTTCTAATGCACTGTAGGCACTTTTGTACCTGCTGGCAAAAAATGGCAGCTACTTTTTATGTGTGTTCTTCTCGATAGCGCTCCAAGCTTCTGGCGATGCCCTTTAGCATTTCAACAATGTATTATTGTAAATTTTCCACTTTTCTGGCCCAGAATTACAAATGCAGACATCAGTTCAGGGTAAAATAGCTCACGAGTCAGTTCCTCAAGAGGATTAGCATATTCCTAGGTTTAATACTGCTGACTTCCTAAGATATAAAAAAAACCAAAACAAGCCTAATATAATAGCAGCCCTATTGCATTTACCACAACTTTATTCGGGAATTTTAAATTATCTAATTCCAAAATGATAGACACAAAATCAGGGCTTAAATGGTGCTTGAAGCACATACCTGCAGCGTGGCTTCCGGAGATGGAGTCTGTTTTGCATGACCCAATCTGACTAAATGTTTCTGCTTCAATTTCTGGGATCAAGGTAGAATTATTTAGTTCATTAAGTGTTACCACTCCTGCAGTTTCAGAGCCCTGTCTCAGGACTGAGGGCATCCTACATGGCAGCAGGGAACAGAACTCACGTTACTCCTGACCTAAAGGCCAAGCAAGCTAGCTCCAGGACATTACATCAACACAGCTCAATAATCACGTATGGCCCAGGTAATTATTTTAGACACAGCACCCCACTAGCATAGCCACACTTCCTTTGAGATCTGAGCTGCCTGAATCGTGCAGATGTGTTCATCTACCAGTAGTCTTGAGGCCTTCCAACAATGTGCTGACACAGCACTTAGGAAGCACACACGGCTTCTTTCTCCTGAACAGTCTCCAGTTTTATCAGTCCCCATCAGGGATCATTCTCCTTGAGTCCAGGTGGGATGTCACATCGTGTGCTCCCTCACACACATCTCTCACAGCAGGAGAAGGCTGCACCAAAGCCGCTTATGAAGAATGGTTCCTGGCCCAGGGTAAATTTGGGTCATGCAAGGGAATTGTCTGGGTGATTGCTAATGGTCACGAGCCAAAATGGTACCAGGGAGTGTGGTACTGGTCTCACAGTATGGATGGTGACACATCAGCTCCTCTGCTCTGGGCCTGCCCTGGCAATGTTCAGTTCTGGTAGATGTAGCCATAGTTAATACAGTTTAGAAGGAGTTGAACCTGAGCTAAATAATTTTGACTGTAAGCAGGACTTCTTATTCCAGTGCTGGAGCTGGACCACACAGCTTTCTGCCAGTTCAGAACAAGCTCAAATGTGTTGCACAATAATGTGCAAATACATCGTAACCCAGAGCATCACATAATCAGATCCTCATGCTATAGGGAACAAGAAGTTCCAGAAGTTCCTGGGAGCGTGTGCAGGAGTGGAACAAAAGTGCATTTCTGTTTGTAAAACACAGAATTTTACATAACATACAGTTAGGTACCTGGGCAAACTGAATCACGAAACTGCTGCTGATTACAATCTCTCTGATGTCCATAGGAGCACTTCTATGGACTAAGTCTGCCTGTTAGCCTTATCCCAAATTATTATTAATTCATACCACTTTATCATGGACACAGGTCTGGTTAGCACTGCAGTGTGGTATCCAAGTTCTCCAGCCACATAAGTCACACATTCCCTCTCGTTTCTGTCCTTACCTGCAGCAGATGAGGTCATTTTTTTTCCTTCCTGTCCTGCTGCTAAGAGAGAAGAGCAGCACAGGAGGGACTTGCAGAAATAAGATAGGTGGCACCTGCTTCCTTCTCACACTCTTTTCCACCCACAAGAAGGATCAGGCCCCAGAGCTTAAGGGGTCTGTTTGCTTTGGTGGGCTCCTCAGGATGTGTCATAGACCACGCTGAACACGCTCTGCTCCTACGACCAAGCAGAAGGCGATGCAGTCCCAGACCGGGTGCTGCACCAGTACCATGGGAAACATCTTACCTGTAAGGCACCCACAGGACTGCATTCCTACAACTGTGCCATTAAAGACTTATTTCTGACCACTGGCAGATGTTCTTTTCAGGTTTTAGAAACATTTAATGAAGATATGAAGAGAACTTTCCAGTGCCACCAGTTGGGAAACAGCCTAAGCACAAACACTAAGAAAGAGCACTGGAAATTTTAGAAGAAAGGATCTTTGCATTTCAAAGTCTAGCAACCCAAGTCTAACTGTTAAACCAAACTCACACCGATGTTTTAAAAGCAAGTCCCTGCTATGCCGGTATACTAGTTTTGCACATATTTATTAGGAAATTCTGAACTCCTGACTATATTTTTATCTCTGAAGAGTCATACAAATCATGAACCCTATGTTCCTATTTAACATGTCTTAATGACTTCAAATCAAACTTATCCAGTTCATAAGCAAAATGATAATTTCTGTAACTAACATCTTTGCACATACTCAACCTGGGCTGTAGAAAGCTAGCTCTGTGTAGTCAGTGCCACAGTCCCCAACATAAGATGCAAAAGATGAAATCTAATTAGCAATTCTGAACTAACTAGATTGAAATCCTGCCCACTTGAAATAAAATAAGAACACGCCACCTCTGCAATTGTAAAATACCTAGGAGACTGCCAAGAGACTGAAAAATGGCACTTGCTCAGCAAACTGTAGACTAAAATTAAGATTTTTTTTCAGTATAAGTATTAAATGCTTTGCTGAATTAGGGCCTTAAAGATGACCAAGGTCATATCCAACATTTTCAGAAAGTCAATTCACAGACCTTAAGTAAGTTCTAGCTTTGCATAAGGATAAGGGACTTTCAATCTTATTATGTGGCTTTGAGGTGTTTTGCACTGAAAAGTGCAATTTTAGAGACTGCTGTGTTTCATACTATTAGTGGATGTATCTCTGAAAGCAAAAGCTTTATGCACTTGATGCAATGAGTTTGAATGCTAGTGTAGTTTTTAATGCATGAGTAAAATAACCCCACCATTATTTTTTAAAAATCAATTATAAAAGACACTACAACTTCAAATCCATGTTTTTAATGTACGACACCATATATTCAAAGTCTTTCACAAATTTTATCAAAATCCACTAGAAAATCATGGATGAATGTTATTCTGCTATAACTTTTAAAAGGAGAAAAAAAATTATGGGTGGACCATATGCTATTCTGGAAGCAAATCCTCTCCTAGTTCCTCATCAGCAAAGTCATCTTCCTCAGGCCTTTTTCTGGCTGCAGTTCTTGGTCTTTCTGCTTGTGGGCCAAGTGGATCTATGTAGGAGGCATCTGGGGTTTAAAGAAATACATTGGAAACAATTACCTGCAAGCAATTTCAGCTTTGTTTCAAACATACAATCTCTCACAAGAGTGAGTTTTAGCATTACACATCTGTAAGGTGTCTTTGAAATGCAGACCAGAAAGAGCACATGAACACTGAAGGAGAACAAGATACCGCATTCGGGAAGCACGGCATGGCCCAAGAACAAAGTACCTGAGTGCTAGTGATAGAAGCCTGTTTCTTCCTTCTTTTAAAATAAATTTCTCTTTATTTTATTACAGTCATTAAGTGAGAAAACTTTGGAAAAGTCCATGGAACAGGAAGACTGATGAGGTGGTTAAAGGAAGGGCATTTTAGGAAGTACCACATTTCACATGGATATGGTATTTTAAATCCCTTTGAAAATTCTGTTTTAGTGAAGAACTGATGACTGCAGAACCACAAGAACTGACTAAAGGCTGCAGCAGACAGACATCCAAAGTAATAGTTACAATTACACAGGCCAAATTTCTTAATATTTACAATTACTTTATAGTGAGCTCTGAACAATGAAGCTAAAGCCATTGTTCACATTTATTTCATGGGGCAAATGTTTTTTCTAATTGTCTAATTATATATGCTCTTCCAGGAACTTACTTTTTGCATCTTCCCTCTCTTTGAGGGCCAGGAAAGTAAGAAGGTAGAAGATGCCCACTTACCTATTTCTTTACTGCTGCTGCTTTCATAGGGTTCACTTGCTCCAGGCAAAGCTTTGAGTTTGGCACTCAGTCTTTCCCTTTTGGTACCACCACTGTCTGAGGGGAAGAAAAAGAAGTTACAGAGAAATAACACGCTATGTTCTGTGAATCATGATAAAAGGACAACATAAAGATTCCTTTCTGTTTACCCTCGGTCAGGGCTGTTGAGTACACATCCCTTCCACAGCAAGTCAGCCACAGTGATCTGCATAAGACTGAAACTATGAACTACAGGTTGTACTACAGACTTCATAGTGTTGTTATATGAGAGGGAGAAGATGAAGTATAAGCCACAGAAGTAATTGGTTGTATTGGGAAGTGCAAAAGTTGTAACTTGGCTGCTGGATGCCCCAGTAGCTATAGGACCGGGTCTTTGATCAACCTGGTCCAGTGGGAGGTGTCCCTGCCCATGGCAGGGGTTGGACTGAATGATCTTTAAGGTCCCTTCCAATCCAAACCATGCTGTGATTCTGTGATAAATTTAGCTACTATCTGTCAAACAAGATTTGGATGAAACCATCTTTTCATGATGGATACAGCACTCATTTGTAACAGTGGTCATTAAAACACAATGGACGCTGCGTCCACATGTGTGTGTTCTAATATTTAAAATTATATATATATACAGCATTATTTACTTTGGAGTAAACACATTAAAACATTTCTGCTTCAAATGCTGAAATTTCAGTTGCTTGTATCTTACAGTCACATTCTGGAGTTAAAACAAGCATGATAAATATAAACACTGTCAGAATGCACACAGACGTATATTAGTATACTCATATATTGAGTATGATCCACCTGTTCAGTACTGTCAAGGTTAAATACAACTGTAACTCGGCTTTTAATTAGCGGAGCACACTTGGCACGCGCTGTCTGCATGGCAGACCCGGTCCATGTGCACAGAGCAGCCTGGCCCCGCGTCGCTGTAAACACGGCGCTGGCAGCTCTGCTTGCAGCGGGGCCCCAAGGAATGTGTCGGCTCCGAGGGCTGCCTCGTGCCCAGACAACGTCAGATTAACATTCCCTTGTCACAGCAGTATTCCAGACACTTGAAATATTCTGTTCACCTCTGAATCTCTTTTTCACATTCATGGCAAGCTTTCAATCTCATCTGCTACAGCAAATTTTTCTGCAATTTTTTTTCTCCTAGGAGAAAACGTTTCATGTTTGGCTTGGTGTATTTACAAGGCAGGATGTGCCACACAGCCAAACACAAGCATGCTCATTTACAACGCGAGACAATGCTGTTATTAAAAGTCCTCCATCTGTAAGAAGGAAAAATGGGTTTCATTCAGCAAACGTTAATTACAAAGCTTGGACTTGGCAACACATTTCCATTGTCTTATTTACTATAAGTGTTCTTTTTATAAACATTGCTACCATTAAAAACAAAACAAAACAATAACTTCCCCCAAAATGATAAACCTTTATTTCTCTATAAATACTACTGCAGACTGCAGTTTACTCCACCCTGAATTGCAATCTTCTCCAAGAAAGATCTAATACATAGAGTAGCATGCCAAACAGTTAATATGTTTACAAGGCACAGGTTACAGCTGAAACATCAAAGCAAGGAAAATCTATTTCAATGTTCATCAACCTCTCTTGGATCGATTCTCACTGACAGGGTCTATGGAAGAAGTGATTCCGTAACAAAGGAGTTGAAGACACTGAAAGAAATCACTGGGTTTGATAGGCAGGCTCAACCAAAGGGCTGTAAAATTACAAAAGGGTCACCTCTTGATTTCTGTGGGCTTTGGACCGGCTTGCACAACAAGGAGGGGAGTGCTGAACTTCAAAGATTACGTGGATGAAAGCATTCTCAGGACAGTTTAGAGAAGAATACAAAATATTTATCAGGGAGAGAAAGAGTAGGATAGGAATAGGCACAGTGTCCTGTGCAATGGAAAACGATTTACAAAATATTGGATATATCAAGTTGAAAGAAGTAGTAAGGAGATACAAGGACAGGAAGGATAAAGCAGAAGCTACACTAGGGGAAGACTGAATCAGTCAAAGGAACTCCATGGGTTTAATTGGTTGGTTCCAGAAAGGAAGAACTGGGTGTAATGAAAATAAAAGGAAGATGGCATATCAAAGGTTTTCAACTGTGAAGGAGAAAAACACACAGGTGACAAACAATGATAAGACAAGGGGTAATGGACACAAGCTGGAACACAGGAGGTTCCACTTAAATTTGAGAAGAAACTTCTTCTCAGTGAGGGTGACAGAGCACTGGAACAGGCTGCCCAGAGAGGTTGTGGAGTCTCCTTCTCTGGAGACATTCAAAACCCTCCTGGACGCCTTCCTGTGTAACCTCATCTAGGTGTTCCTGCTCTGGCAGGGGGATTGGACTGGATGATCTTTTGAGGTCCCTTCCAATCCCTAACGTTCTGTGATTCTGTGATTCATTGATACTATCTGAGGAAGGTAAAAGATTTTATATTAACTGAAAGAATTTTTTAAAAAGATAGCAGATAACCCAAAATGGCTGTGATAAACATAATACCCACATGTTACCTGTACGTCTTACTGCCTTAAAACAAACAATTGAAAACAGAACTTTCCTTGGACATCCTAGGACCCTTAAGTTTTATTAGGGCTACATCCAAGAAGGGAGTGAAGCAGTAAGTCCAAAATTTGAAGCCAAATCCCCACCCTTTTCTCTCTCCATCCAGTGGATGTCCAACCCTTGAAGTATCTAAACCTCGTAACACTATCCCCTGCATAGCTTTGAAGCTCCTTAAGGACTTATTGCTATGATTGAGTTGCTCAAAACAGCCATCCTGTGCATCAAGATGCCTGCAGGATGTTCAGCAAGTGACCTTGGTGTCTAAGCTCCCCTTTTCATTTATGAGCCAATACAATGGAATTGTGAGTGCTGTTACAGTGAGCAAATGTAGCTGTTCACACAAATGTACCTTTTTAGGTTTCAGACTTGATTCAGTTGCCCAAACACGTTAATTACTGTGTTTAATAAACTGAACCAACTCAAGGAGATTAATGCTAGAAGTATTGCACAGCAAGCAGCAAGAACAAATGACCAGGAATGGGAAAGAAAAGAAGTGCTAAGGTGGGCTGGACTGCTCTTTCCAGAAGCAGAACATGATTTGGTCAGTACACCCCATCTTGACTAAATGCACCCTAGAAAAACTGTGAAGAATAAGTGTCTATGGGCACAGTGTCCTGTTAATACTTATGCAGTAAGAACATATGGGTGCCTTACTAGATTAAAGATCCATTTAAATATCCTACAAAAAGAACATATAAGAAGTCTATACAAAAGAGCAGAAGATGCTTTGGGAAAACCATCATCAGCAGAACAAGTGTATCCAGTAGCTCTCCAAGAATAATTTCCTAGCCTTTAACAATCTGTAAAACAAGCATGTGTTTGAAGGAAGAAGGCAGCTCTTCACACTTAATAATGGATTGATGATTTATTCAGTCTTCCTTTGAGCCTCTGTGAAATTTTTGCATCTGTACCAACCTGAGGAAAGGAGTTTCACCTTTCATTTACTCCCAACCTGCCAATCTAGCCCTACTTTGCCACAAAAAGCAGCATCTTTCTGCCCTGCATTGCATCCTCCTCCACATGCTGGCAAAGTGGTAGCAGGCTGTGCTGGAGCCGTTACTGATACACTTAAAACTAACCTAATGAAAACTTATTTTTCTCAAGTGGATCTGCAAAGTAATGCAGCTCACCTTCCCTCTATATCACCACGATATCTACAGCAGAAGTGAAGGGAAGATTAACATCTCTGGTAGCAGCTCACAATTGGTTTAAATTAAGCCAATATGCAAAACCACATCAAGTCTCCATGGACTGTGCTATGTTCAGAGCATATCTAAAACTGTGGAAAAGGAGCATCTTTCATTTAAAAGTACAGTCGGGAGAAAAGAAGAGGTCCTTGACACCATGTGCCTTACATGGAGGTGTCAGACAGGAGCTCAGGAAGTGAGAGGTCTGGCTTCAATGCCTTCCTTCACCTGAGGGAGCTCAAACCCAATCCCAGCTGTTGAGCTACTTGGGGTAAAGCTTTTCCTGACTCTCTGCCATGGGATACAGGATTTGGCTGCCAATATGCCAGCTATTAAAAATTCTGCTGACCATATAACACAACCTGCCAGAAGTTTAAATCTCATCTCGAAACACCTTTTTGTAGTTCTGATGCAGATAAATCATCTATATGTTTTTATTCAGTAAAAATAAATACATAATTTGGCCAGTGTTAAGAAATAAAAGCTTGCAATGTAGAGTTCAGGATTCTGGTATCCTATAGTGAACGGAACTTCAGGGGAGGAACGGTATTTCAAGCATTTTATCACAGACATGCATACCTTTTGGAGGCGAGTTTTACAGTTTCTGCTCACTGTTCCCTGCCCTCTGCCAGCCCAAATGTAGGAAAAGGATGTTATACCCATTCCAGCTTTTGGATTATGGGAATGAAACTGTCACTAAAGTAACACACAGAAGAAAACAAAGCCAATATTGGGACAAAAGATAATAATAAAGTCTTTGGATGAAAAGCTTTTTTTGTAGTTTTTTTATACTAATAGTACAGCTTTGAGTGTTAACATCTGTCTGATTCCCCTTGCAATCAAAGGACTCCAGGTAGACCTTTCTCAAACTGCAAATTAATTCTCTCTGCATTACTCTAGTAACTGTACAACCACATGCTCCTAATTAAATAAGGCTTTTGAATAATGGAAGACCACTGCTGCCCTAAATTGCTTTCTTTATCTAAGGAAACCTTCACTGTAATTAAAACACACTCCTTATTTATTTATTGTGATTTTATTTAAAAAGTATGTTAATTACTGCAGTTCACGTGGAGGCCAGTCCTAGCGTACTCACTATGGGTTGAACATGTGGACACATGCACATAAACTGCCTGCAGGAACATGGCTCCAGATTTCACTTGAAAAAGCAACAGTAACTGATTAAGCAGAGCTGGTCACTTATAAATCAGATTTAAAAAAAAAATGTTTACTCTGTAAAATGATTGTACTTGAGATTTGGAGTATCATGCTGACGTTATCTTCCCCTTGCAGTC